AGACAACAATTATACTAGCAGAAACTGTCTGATTTAACTGTTCTAGAACTCTGGAGGCTGAGTTGAAGACTTTCAATTTCCAGATGATGGTTTGGATGATAACGTTTGATCAATTCCAGCTTCTGGGACGGTAGCAGTTATTCAACTTCTACTTCTAGGCTCCTGGCAGGGAGCTGTGTGTATGGTCCTGAAGGAGCTTGTACACAAGTATGGGAGTCAGGATGGGCAAAACGGATCTTTGCCCTCCGAATATTCAGGATCTGCACGGTGATCCCTATAGTTTTTGGTCATAGAAGGCGATACAGTGGTGGGTAGCTATAATGGCAGCAGCAAACCCCACTACTGCAAGCTCTTCCTCCTCTTATGGCTGAAGTGACTTAAGACTGGCACCCTTTTCCTCCTACCTTTTTCCCTTTTCCTTTTTTTGGCAGCCAGCTATTAAAGACAAAGGCAGTAAAAATAACTGCATGTACTGGGGAAAACTAGAAAGTGACCATGTATGCCTAGGGAAAGGTGCAGACTCACAAAATACCTGAGACATTCTTAAGGTTACACCTCAGACCAGCTCTTGCCTGCAGCCATCAATAAAATGAAAAACAAACATAACAAAAACCCAGCCAAACATAGGATAGGGAAGATTCTGATTTCCAGAGTTCACAATAATTATTAGAGTCGGACATCCAGGTTTTGACATAAAGGAAAAAAAAAAATCACAACACACAAAGAAACAGGATACTCAAAGGAAAAAATGATTATAGAAGTTGTCCCTAAAGAACACTTCATGGCATGTGTCTTACATAAATACTGGAAAGTACCATTTTAAAGATGCTCAAAGAAGTAATGATGTAGAGAAAGTCAAGAAAATGATTTACAAACAAAATGGAAATAATAAAGGCACAGAAAACATAAGAAACCAAAAAGAAATTCTAAAGCTTAAGATTGTAGTCACTAGCCAGGCAAGATAGAGCACGCCTATAATCCCAGTACTTGGGAGGCTGAGGCAGGAGGAATGCTGTGTGTTTGAGGCCAGACTGAGCTACAAAATGAGTGAAATTCAAGGCCAGCCTGAACTGCATAGTGAGACTCTGCTTCAAAAAGACAAAAAGAGAAAAAAAAAAGAGAAAAGAAAGATCATAGTCACTGAAATAAAAAACCTGCTAGAAAATTATTTAAAAGGCAGATCTGGCCAGACGTGGGGGCACATACCTGTAATCCCAGCACTCAGGAGGCTGAGGCAGGAGGAACACTGTGAGCTTGAGGCCCGCCTGGGCTACAAAATGAGTGAAATTCAAGGCCAGCCTGAACTGCATAGTGAGACTCTTTCTCAAAAAGACAGACAGACAGATAAGTAGGTAGGTAGATAGATACATAGACAGACAGACAGATAGATAGATAGATAGATAGATAGATGAATAGATAAATAAATAAATAAAAGGCAGATTTGATCAGGCAGAAGACAGACTCGGCAAACTTAAAGATGGGACACTAGCAATTACTGAGTTTGAGGAAAAGAAAAACACTGAAGAAAAATGAGTAGAGCCTAAGGCACACATGTCATACCATTAGGTGAATACTGTCGGGTGAATAAAACTATGTATTCTGAAAGTATCAGAATTACCCTAGATTTGATGGAAGACGTGAATACAAACATCAAAGAAGCTCAACAAATTCCAAGTAAGATGAGTATTTAGAGAGATCCATGCCAAGATACATTATAATCCAACTTTCAAAAGCCAAAGAGAATTGTGAAAGTAGTGAGAGAGAAGTGACCTGCATTTTTTAAAAAAGGATATTCAAGAAGATTATCAGCATTATTTCTCATCAGAAATTTGGGGCTACTATATTTAAAGTGCTAGAAGAAAAATCTGTCAACCAAGAATCTTAATATGGCAAAACTATTCTTCAAAAGTGAGAGAGAACTGAGTGTGGTGAGGCATGCCTACAATCCTAGCACTTGGGTGACTGAGGCAAGAGGATTACCACAAGTTTGAGACCAGCCTAAATTACATAATGAATTCAATGCCTGGCAAGGGCAAGGTCCTGAGTTCAAACTCCAGTACCAAAAAAAAAGGTAAGAGAGAAACTGCAAGCATAGTAATTTAAACCATATGAACAAATAAAAATCTGAAAGATAAATATACAGGCAATTATAAAAGCCACCATTATAATAATGGTTTATAAATACTTTTTATTTTTTACATAATTTAAAAGACTAATGACAAAATATCAATTTATGTTTTTCTACATAATTGTATAAGTATATAATTTTGTGACAGCAACTGAAAGGGGTGGGATTGGATAGGTGTAATTTTTGTATGCTGTTGAATCTAACGTGGCATAAATTCAAATTAAAACATAAAACTAGATTTTAAATGGTAACCACAAGGACAGTAGCTATAAGATATACCCAAAAGGAAACAGCAACGGAATTTAAATATTTCACTATAAAAAAAGAACAATAACAAAAGAAAAATTTCCCCATGAAAAAAATCAGACAAAAGGAGTTAACGCAGGAAATGAATAAAAAGATACAAGGCACATAGAAAAAAAGAGAATTAACATGATATTATTAAGTCCTTATCAGAAATTACTTTAAATGTAAATGGATTGAATTGTTCCATTAAAAGACCAAGATTAGCAGAATGGATAAAAACACTTGACTCAACTATATGCTCTCTACAAGAGATTCAATTTAGATATTAAATTGAAAGTGGAAGGAGACGAAAAGATACTCCATTCAAATAGTAACTAAAAGACAAAATAGGTGCTACATTAGTATCAGCTAAAATAGATATTAAATTTTTTTAAAAAGGTGAGACAGGTATAGTGGCACATACCTGTAATCTCAGCTACTTAGGAGGCTGAGGCAGGAGGATTACAAGGTCAAGGCCAGCCTGGACAACTTAATGAGACCTTGTCTCAGAAAATTAAAAATGGGCTGAATATGTAGCTCAATGGTAGAGCACTTCCCTAGCATGCGTTATTTTCAAATGTTTCAAGAAGAAAAAAAAATTTTGTAATGTACTCCTAGCTTTAAATTTTGTAATAATTATTTTAAAAGTAAAATAATTATATATAAAAATAAATTTGTTTTTGGGCTGGAAAATCTCTTTCCCTCTCTATAAATAGGCTCTACTTGGCTAGAAAAAAAATTTTTCTGCCAAAACATGTCAGTGGGCCTAATTGCCTGCCAGTCTTTGATCTATGTCTTAAAGAATTTTTATTTTTAATTTTTTTAATTTTTAATTTTCTTAAAGGAATTTTTACAGGATTCAAGTAACTAAAGCTAGGTATCAATTTACCAGGAGGTTGCTTTTACAGAGTAAAGGATATTTTCACACTAAGTCTAATTTACTCCTACTATACTTCTATTATGACCAAACCTCAGTAGCGTAGTTAACATATTTATGACAGATTAAAATACATCAAAGTTCAGAATGTGGCAATTTTATAGATTCATTTTTTTTTTGTTACCAGGAATTGAACTTGGGACCTTGCACAGGCCTGTGCCGCTGAGCTATATCCTCAGCCCAATTTTATAGATTCTTATGTGATTTAGACTTAGCTTAGTAAATTGTCATAATTTTAGCTTCATAATATATTAAGTCTCTTAACATGAGAGGTTCGTTAAAACATGATTCCTCAACCTCCTTTATAATTAACGAAATACAAATGAAGATATCCTTCTATTTGTCAAAATTGCAAAATTTGAAAAGATTTCTAATTTCTCAATCTTCTTAATAAATGCCCATTAAGATGACTTGTTTATTACACATGAAAATTAAAAACATTGAAATATTTTGTTAGTGAGGAAGTCAGGACTATAAATTGTTCAAGTGTTTTTAAAGATATAATTTGGTAGTAACTCTCAAACTTTAAATTCATGTATCAATTAACTAATTTCATCTCTATAAAAATCTAAGAGCAATTACTTGAATATGTTCATAAAAAACTGCATGCAAAATTATACTAACAGCAATATTATGAAAATAAAGAAAAATCTGAAACTACCTAAATGTAGAATTACATACTTATGCTGAAAGGGAGACTGATGTTTATTGATATATAGTTATATTTTTGAAATCCTTCAAAAATACATTATATAATTCATAGAAAAAAAGAATTTATTGGGCCACAGATATAGCTCAGTGGCACAGCACCTGCCGGGCAAGTGCAAGTCCTGAGTTTGATTCCCAGTACCCAAAAAAAAAAAAAAAAATTTATTATGAAGAATAAAACATTTGTAGTGTTTTATACTTTATCATCACTTTTAACCACTTTATTTGTACCCTGCCACATACTGTGATCACAAGGACAGGTAGTACAATCATACTGCACTCTTTTAGGTGACAACAAGGACTAAAGAATATCAATCACCTTACTGGGTCACGCAGCTTAGTAAGTGCTAGAACTAAGACCTTAGACTTCACATGAATAGTAGCTAATGACAGCTTTTGTCCTATACTTGTCCTTGTATCTTGTTAATAAATGAGTTTGTGTACAGCTTCACACTGTATTCTAGAACAGGTAGCTGGGCATGATGTTGTACATCTGTTATCTCAACTACTCAGGAGGTTGAGGCAAGAGGCTAGCCTGAGAGATCTTGTCTCAAAATAAAAAGGGATTAGGGGTGTAGTTCAGTGGTAGAGCACTTCCCTAGCACATTAAAAAAAGGTCATTTCCTCAAAAGTTTTCTCATTTTAGTATAAAAATTAATGAATTGTGTCTAGGGATTAACTAAATTTATAAGCTATAATTAGCTTGAGCTGTATCTGGGAGGATACTAGTTTTCTTGATTCTGAAGACGATCTCAAGATGACCATTCTGTTTGTCAGTCTGAAGAAGAAAACTACCAAACCACTAGAAATAAACCCCTAGCAGCTGGGAGAAAAACATTCCCATTCCAAATATCCTTATGTGTGAAGTAGTTTCAGTGAAAGAGCAAATACATTCCTTTTGCTTTGCTGACTACTCTCATCACAGCACGACCCATAACATACCATCAGGAAACTGGTCAGCATCATCATCAAACATGGCTTCCTTGAGGGCTGATTTGTTGAAAGGACTGATGGAATCTGAATAGTTGTATGGATTATAGTCTCGAGAGCGTGGAGAGGAGTGAGCAGGCATCGAATGGAGCAATGCAGCTTTATTATCAAGGACCGTTTGGCTTGAGTCAGTAGCATCACCTCCTGCTCTTGGGTCTGACATCCCAGGACCACCACATATCTATTGATGGGAAGAGGAAAGCACAGCAAATTAACTCATTGTCAAATATCTCTTTAACATTCTAAAAAGATGTTTCCTTACTCTTTAAGAAGCTATTTAAGAAAGTTAACCATAACCACCTGAAAAAAATCAACCATAATATTTATATTCAAAATTATAAAGCTTATAGTAATGATATAAAAATCACAGCTGCAAGGGTAAATAAGAAAACTCTAAGAATGCTGCTTCCAATGCTGCCTCATTATAGGTCCCTTCCCAAAGGCATAACCAAATAATACATACAGTGGGATTAGCAACAACTTCTCCATGCCAGCTAAAGATACAAAGAGACTTTCATTAGCAATAGAAGTAAAACATGCTAGATTCTATTGTTAAGGATTCTTTTGTGTGTGTGTGTGTGTGTGTATTTTTTTCCCAGTACCGGGAATTGAACTCAAGACCCTGTGCTTGCCAGGCAGGCACTGTATCGCTGAGCTAAATCCCCAGCCCTTATTACACAGTATGTATATTGAATGCCAACAAAGTATAAGAAAACCAAATTTTAAAAGCACTGCTTAAAAAAAAAAAAAGAAAGGCTTACAAGGCCTACATCACTTTTAGAGGGAAGCCTAAAGAGCTGAGGTTCACTGACATAATTGCCAAAACATCAATACTAATACTGACATCAATACTAGTATCAAAATCACTATCACTGCAAGTATCACCGTTTCTACTATGTGTTAAGCCATTTGATAAACACTTTATAAATATTCTTTCAAATACTTAGTGCTTACCTATTACATGCTAGGCACTGTTTTTGGCATTAGGAATAGATTAGTAAACAAAAGAGAGAAAGACATTTATTCTCATGGAGTTTACAGTCTAGAGGAGGGTCACAGACGATAAAAAACTTAATGAATGAGTCAAGTAATGGTCTGGTAGAAGGTGTTTAGTGTAATGGAAAAAAATAGGTAGTGTGGCATTAAGGGACCATGAGTGCCCAGGGGGCTGAAGGGAGTTCATAGATTAAATGGGGTGAGTAGGGTTCACTGAGAACCTTCAGAAGGAAGAATAGAAGGATGTGAAAGATAGCTATGGAGCTAGCCAGAGGAAGTGTTTAGGCAGAAAGTATACTCAGTACAAAGACACTGAAGCAGCAAAGAATATGCCCAGTAAGTTCAAGGAAGAGCAAGAAGGCCAGTGTGGTAGGAACTGAGCAAACAAGGAAAACAATAGTAGAGATGAAGCCACGGGGGTAGTAGGAAAGGAAGTTTACTGTGTAAACTTTGGCTTTAACTCTGAGACAGGGATATCCTATAGAGCTGTGAGTAGAGGAATTAGAAGAGACTACAGGAGGCCAAGGACAGACTCCTATTATAATCATCTAGGTGAGAGGACTGATGACGACAGGCATTGGTAAGAAGCTGTTAGATTCTGGCTACATTCTGAAGATAGACTAATAGACTTCCTGAGAGTTACACTTCCCAGACTGGGTATAGAGGGTTAGAAAAAAAGAGGACTCAGAATAACTCTTTTGCTCAAGGTTTTTGCTGAGCAAGCAGTACTGCCATCTCCTAAGACACGGTGGAGCAGTTTGATGGGAGAAGATCAGGAGTTGAAATAGGCTGCTGAATGTATGAACATGGGCCTCAGGAGAGAGGTCTGGGCTTGATGGAGTCATATAATGTACCATACTCACAGGAATTTTTAAGGTAGCTAGTAATATCCATGTTTTCCTCATGAGGACAATGACCCTTAGAAATAGTCACCTGATTAGCTAATAACTGTCAGGACCTTGGATTTAAACTCACTTCTGTTTTTTTTTTTTGGTTTTTCTCCTGTACCGGGAACCGAACTCACGACCTTGCGCTTGCCAGGCAGGCGCTTTTGCCGCTGAGCTAAATCCCCAGCCCCCCTCACTTCTGTTATACTCCAGTACTTTGTACCATGCTGTGTATGAAAAGCCAATCTGAGCGTCACCTAAACATTGATTCTTACCAACCTGTTGCTGATACATGTAGTTTTTAGGATAGAGAACCTCAAAGATGAATGGTAAGATGGTTTTTGGCAACCAATTTACTAGGCCCACTACAACCTGGCTCTGCTAGATAGGCATGGAGAGAAAAACAACAGCAGGAAAGAAGTCAAGAAGGCAGGGAAGGAAGCATTTTGCACTGAAACACTATAATGTTCTGCAACTTTGCAAACAGCAAGAAACAACAAATTCCACAGGAAATGGCAGGGTATCTGTAAGAAAAGTCTAAGCTGCCAGAAAAAAAGTCCCCCCCAAAAACCAAAGTAAAAAACAGCTAACTTTGAATAAAGTAAAGGCAAATAAGTAATAGTCACACAGACAGGTTGTAACATTCTTAATTGGAGCTACATAAACTGATGATGCAAAATAAACTACAATTCACACAAGAAAAAAATCTAAACTACTTATTTTACCTTATAAGGCTCATGAGATATGGTCCACACCCCACTCCGTCTTTCATTAACAATGCTCCAACTATACAGGCTTTCTTTACAGCCTCTTCTAGTTTCTATCTGCCTTCGTAATTTCTAATTCTTTCACAGAATGGTCCTCTGAATTTGTGTGCCTTTAAGTCCCAATGCAAATAAATACCATCTCTTGAGAGATGTCTTCCTGGACTGCACAATTTAAAACAGATTCACTTTCCTACAAGGCACATTCTAAACTAAGTTATCATTTCTATCTGAATATCTAAAAGAAATCTGAGGACATGATTTTGTCCTATAACTCTAACAACTACTATATAACAGTGCCTAGCATGTGGTACATATTAAATACTTGTAAATGACCCCTAGAAAATTACATTTGAAAATGCCAGAAAGCAAAAGTTAAAAAAAAGGTAATGAAGATCGAAACAGTCTACAACATAAATGTTCAAATACTCACTGAATCACCATCATCTTTTTTAGAGTCCTTTTTCAATGGCTCATTCATATCTTCTTGACTACGGAAGCTGAAATTTTGGATTGCTTCAGTGACACCTCTTAGAGAGCTATAAATATCTTCAGAGTTCATATTTTCTGTGTCATAATCAAATGCACTATAAAAAAGATAACGCTAGTCTTTATTTATGTATAGTGTTAAAATACAAACATATCTAATGAGCTTGTATAGGACATTTACAAAGACAGGATTAAAGAATGTATATTCTTTGAAGCATAATTAGCAAACTAAAACATGGTAGCTATATATGTGGGTAAACATCCCCTCTATTTTTATGCTTTGTCTATAAACTTAATTTTCTTCCTTACTTTTAGAGGTAGTTGGTCAATATTAGATTTAAATATCCCTCATGTGTAATTACCCTCATTATTTATGCTAAGTAATATAAATGCAAGACACACACAATGTATAATTTACTAGGCTTATGAAGCATGTCTGAGAATTATAACTATGCTATTTAACAAAACAAAAGGTGTGCCAGTAGGTTTTCTTTTTCCTTCAAAAAACTTTCACATTTAAATATCATTATTATTTCAATGGCTTGCTTCTGAATAAACTTGAAATT